ACAATCTGCCGCGCTGTTGTTTCCCTCTGGCCGACTGGTTGACCACGGCTGATCAGCGTCGTAATGTAATGGCTGGCTACGTTGATCTCAATTTCGAGGTTCCCGCCAAAGATAATCAACACCAGGCCACCTCGGCCGGTCTGGTTGCCACCTACAAGACCGCCCCCAACTTCACCCTGCCCCTGGGCGAGGTAAATCTGCTTGATGTGTCCCCACTCCCTCCTCCCACTCGCATGGCGTTTTGTCCAAGTTGGCCAGCCGCCATCTCCCTTCCCCCCTTCCACACTTTTCGGCTAACTGGTCGCTTTTTTGTACGTCTGGCCGAAAGCCCTAGTTAGCTACAAATAACGTCGTTATGTGGTGCGCCATAAAGTGCTCTAGGTTTTTTTTTTCAGCTGCAGGTGATATTACGTTAACTTTACGTTTGCTGTACGGTGCCAACGTAGTTGATTTTTAACAGTTTTTTTTTGATTTAGCAACATCTAACAGCTGTTAACAGACTTTATGAGCGACAGTTCGCTCGTGGGTTTCGACGGGGTCCTCCTCGTCTGGTCTCGTTAGTAGACCGACCATTCGTTGTCCATAAGCACCTTCCCCTCTTACCTCTCTCACAAGACAATTCGAAGGCACGGACGTAGACACTGTCCATGAGTTGCTGCCGCAGTCCGTCCCCCGGGGTAACTGTCAAGTTCGTGCTGCGTCTGCATGTGCTCTTTGAATATTGACGCTGCGATAACTAGCTGTCACAGTCTCCACCCGACTTGTGCTCTGCGGTGTCTGCCTCCGTACCCAACTTTGGGTTTTGGTGTGTCCTTACCTTTGCGTAGTTTTTCCCTGCTGCTGCTGCTGCTGCTGCTCTGTTAGTCAGGCTTTTTGTGCGTGTGTGTACTGGCTTCTCTCACCATTTTCTTTTGGCTATCCTCGTCTCCACGGACGAATTCTGAGACGCCTCACTACTTCGGCGTTTAGCGGTAAAATATGTGCGATCGCTGGAACAAGATGTTTATTCGCCTGACGTTTCGGATTCTGTTGAGAACCCTTCATCAGAGGTAACTGGT